TGGAACTCTCATTGAAGCTACCGGATCATTACACCGTTCCAGTTACAGACAGATCTTTCATACCATACAAACTGCTAAACACAATGCAAAAGAAAACTCAGAAAGATACGTTTTCATCCTCAGCCATAAAAGCTCTAGACTCGATTAGGACAAACAACTTGTTTGGGTTCCTAGTTACAGAGAAAAAAAAAACAGGCAAAAAAGGTACGACAGTGGAGATTTTTTTTCAGAAAGTGGACGCACTGATATGCCCCTAGCCACATGAAAGCTGCTACCAAAGAAATCTTTTCACAGACCGGTCACTTAAGGTGCGTACAAAACTTCATTTGTTACAAATTACGGCAAACTTGTTCGCAATGGAACTGAAGAATGTGGAATAGTTTATATTCTCTGAAAAACGAGGTGTCAACAAAGGTAGTTGTAAGGGACAGCATGCTGAAAGGAAAATGCAGGAATGACGTGAAAGCAGGTACGACATTTCACTTGTCATCTGATTGTCTTGCAGCTATGCTTCCCCGTTTTGAAGTCGCTTTTATGCAAACGTAATAAAGTTCTCTAGGGAGTTCGAATGGGTGGAAAAGGACTTTTTTGCCCCAAGTGTGTCGACCCTCCCATATCGCCAATCATACGAATTTTAATGTAAAACAAATTTTACTTTAACATAACCAAACATGGAATGTTGTTGCCGTTTTTTTTTTGTTAAAAACTTCTTAACTGATATGCAAAGAGCAGAAAAAGAGTTTTCTTACTTACATGCAAAAAGTTAGCACTGGGAAAAATCACAAAAGTCATACTTTTTAACATGACTGAGAAAATATTTATCCCTCCCTTGTTATTTACTAGAATCCAACCAGTTTGTATGCTTGCACCAACTACTCCACTTTTCATTAGATTCGCATGTTGGAAACTGGTATTTTTTTTTTAACACGGCGATGTTTTACGTACTGTCAGTTGTCTAAATATGCATCAGCTTTATACTAGTTTTATACTAGTTATTTTAGGTATGTTGAATTTATACTTCATCAAGAATACAAATTAAAATTAGAAATGAATTTGACTGCAGCAAGATTCCGACAATGAGCTCCACATGCTGAAGTGACATCATCCGAGATCATCAACAGATCATCAACATCAACAGATCATATCAGAAAATCAGCCGAGACGTCCTAGAAATCATCGAACAACAAACTTATGGTTTGGCTGTTCAAATTCTTATTATTACCATTATTGGTGCTGGTTGGTGATGCCAACTAATTAAGAACTGGTGTGATTTCATCTATTTAATTAAAATTCTGGCAGGTAGATTTTCATTTCATGTAGACTGCTAAAGGAGTTACATGGGCCGCAATAGCTGAGTGCTGAGCGCCTGCGTGCTTACACTCATAAGGCCAGACTTTGAGTGCTGGTTTCACCGAACATGTTAAATTGTAGAAAATTAATTTTTCTAAATGCGTTCACCCCTCAGCAGTGAATTTCGAATCCTTCGTGTGTATTTCTGAAATGTAATAAAAGCTTCTTATCTGCAGTTTGGCGGCGTGTTAGGATAAACTGTAGGCCACCTAATTTGTTGGAAGACCATCAAGACACCATCGATCGGCGGAGGAAATCTCCGAAAATCACTTCAGCGGCCGGTTAAACCGCTTTTATTATAACTGCAAACTTTGTTTTTCAAAAATCCTCACAAAATGAAGTTCGGTGGCGTCGAATTGGGTGAGGGCGGCGACCAGTCGATATATCGCCGAAAGGCGGAATTTTTAATTGATTTGCTCTCTTTTAATTTTAATTTTTCATAAATTTTTCAAATAACAATGAATATTTGTCGTCGCAGTTCCGGCCATAGAGAGACATTTTAGGAGAAAAAAAAAGAAAAGTGTTCCCAATATCAAATAACTGAAATATTTAACTGTGTACCAAATTTCATTTAAATCAAACGATTTAAAAATAAATTCGATTTTTTCGAATAAATTAGCCCCAGGTCCACTTCCCGGAGAATCCTTTCTTATCGGCTGCATGCGTCCTACGCAGAAAACTGGAAGGGTGTTTCAGGTCTCTGCGATGAGTCATTGAGGGAAAGCTTTTATGTATATACTCGTATATAGCTTAATATATATATACGTGTATATTATACTCGTACTTGAGTTTATTCAGGGAAAAAGGTCTATTTTCAAGAATTTTTCATAAAACAAAATTAAAAAAAAATATTTTATTGAAACCATTTACTGTTTTAAAGACATACATTTGACAAAGAATTCCTGAAGTTTTCAATTACCCAAAGTCATAAAAAACATAAATCATCTTTTAGTTAATACGTAAACTAGAGTACAGGTAAAGGAAAATAAAAAAAAAAAAATTGATTACTTTAAAGATTTATTGTAAAAAAAACCAAAAAAAAAAAGTACTAGTTTTGGTAACATTCACTATACAATCTTTTTTTCGCTTACATCAAATAATCCTTCGTTCAATTCATCCTTAATTGTGTCTCGAAGAAGTGTCTAAAGTGTCATTAAGATCGGTTGAGCAGTTTTCAAGAACTTTCGGCAACCGACACGACTTGAAAGTTGAGGATAATAAACTCGAGAGGTTGTAAGAGGTAGTGAGATTATAAATAAAAAACCTCAACCAGACAATTATATGAATCACAGTTAAATAAAAAAATTTTATGACCACCAGTTTTCCAACTCTCCTCTAAGGCCTGAGTAGCTCGGGAAAAATTCCACATGGCACTTGGTTTGGTTACTCATACGCCGTGTCGTACTTCTTATTTATCCGAAAATTTGTTTATGTTGGAGACGCTCTGCGCATATTTTTTGTGTGGAAACTGCAAAAGTTTTGTCATAACATTACGTACTTTATGTGACATACTGTGCGCTCACACTTAACTGTTATTTTAATAGAAAGAAGCGCTTCTCCATATGTATATATTTAAATTTCGCTTACTTTGGGAGTTAAATTGTGGTATATCTTTGCTCAAAAAAACAAAAAATAAAAAAATAAAAAAATAAAAAATTAAAAAAAAAAGAAAAAAAAATTAATTGGGACCAAAGTTTCAGGCGTCAGACTGCTGAGGTACACGGCGAAATGTTGAGTTTTAAAAACTGACTTAAAATTTGTAATTTGAATTGGAAAATTGCGAGAAATTTTTAGTTTTTTTTTTGTTCTCTGTGCGGCATAGACACGCCGTCAGTTTATGTAAAAGTATGTTAAAAAGTCAAAATTGGTTAAAAATTCAACTCCATTTGCATGTTTCGTTATTTTTGCCTTTGGTTTTGTTAAAGTTTGGCGGTTATTTTTTTTTGTTATTCTCTTTTGACAGCTGCTGTAATACGCATGTGTTCGGCGCATTTGAAATGAGGCGTTGCGCGCTTCAAAAGTTCAACATTGCCGAGGTTTTTTGTTTTAATATGTATGTATTGCACTATTTAAAATGTAAAGTTGTATTTAAAACACGCAAGTGCTAGATTTTGTGGCTTCGCTGTCGTAGGCTCTGCGATTAGGCGATTAAAGACGAATTAACAATAGCGCGCCGGTCGGCGGGTATCTTCTTTTTACTCCGCTTCCATCGGTGGGTACTGCATCGAAAACTTTCAAAGTTGGAGTGTATTCGTCGCATATCTCACACACCCAGAGTCTAAAGTAACCCCTGTTAGAACGAGTGGATCTGTGCTGGTTTCCAAGTTGGTATTGGTGTTTATGCTGGTCTCAAGACCGACCGAATTGTCTAACTTTAATAGCAAAAGCATTGATTGTTTGATTAATGTTTTCGTTTGTTCTTGTCCTTGTCTTTGGCAATCGCCAAATATTTTCGTAGAATTATCGCGTGGGACCTCTATCGGCCAGCTTTTCAGGCACTTCATGCTCGCGCTAGTTTACCTCCAAGTTGCAAGGCCAAACTTTCGAATTAGTACAGATTGACCTACGAATAATGTTTTATTCAGGGCAGACCGTTTCTTGTTGCTTGAAAATGTTTTGATTTTGCTTTATTTGATTGTGAAAAATTCGGCGCCTAAAGTCAGGCAGCAAAAAGTATTGTACACAACAAGCAACAATAAATTTAAGGGAGAGAAAAAATATATATCCGATGTTTAGGTATATTTTTAAATAAGAAAATAAAAAAATATAATAATAGTTAAAAATAAATAAAATAAAAATAACAGTGCAGGCAGAATAATATTTTCATTATTGAATTTTATTGCATTTTGTTTGATAGCATTCTTTACAGGCACTTAATCTACGTAATTACACTTGAATTTAAAGCACTGTTTAGTAGTATCTAGTGAGGAGTATATGGGTGTGCAAATACAGATAAGTAAATATAAATTTTTCGAAATGAAATAAAAGTAATGCAATTATTCGTATTCTTTAATTATTTCTCGTCAAAAAACCGTTATATCAACTTTTTATTTTTTTTCCTTTATGGCTATTAATTTTGAGATTTGTTTTATTTTTCAAAAATATTTTTTCTAATAAATATATTCCGATTTTTTATTTTTGAACAGAAGTGCTTGATCATTTAATTCTAATTAATTCTTTTAAAAAATTATAGTTATTTTGTTTTTATTAATTTTAACCGATCGAAATGGATATTTATTTTTTTCTGAGCTAGGAGTAAACATTTAAATTGATTATAATTTTTGATTTTGGAATTTAATGAAAAAAGATCTTGTAAGCTTTCGATTTTATTATTTAATTTTTTTTTTCTTTAAAAATAATTGTTAAGTAAAATCTAAATTGATTATTATATTTAATTTTAAAAATATTATTGTAAATTTTTGTTTTCGAATGTGAAAAAATGTGACTGCTTAAAAATTTAAAATAATAAAATCCAAAGCTTCCTTATTTTTTTATCAAAAACTATTTGAAGTGATGCTTAAATTATTAATTTTCGAAAATATTTTTGGAAGTTTTCGATTTTATTATTATTAAGCTCTCACATATTTTTATATTCAAAATCAAAATTAAAAATAATAAATCAATTTTTTCGCATCACAATCAAAATTAAAAATTAAATTCAAAGCCCAGAGCTTTTCAAATATTTTTTCATTTAAATCAAATTTTTATTTATTGCTTGAAACTAAAATTCCATCTCTATTTTGCAGTCCACATTAAGTTTTACAATTGACTAAAGTGTAACTAAAAATCATGTTTTTGCATTTTTTTTTAAATATTTCTTCCTCATAGTTTAGAATTAAAACTAAGTCAAAAATTTTGCTATGATCTGAATGACGGTTATCTACTTAAATATAAATCTAAAATTAATAGTGAACTTTGAAGAGATGTCTTAAGCGCGTAAAATGCCAAATTCCTAGTAACCGAACTGAGTTCTTGGCCTCTTTCTCTTCCTTACTCACTCACTCTCCGCGCTTCATAGTGCATCTACACTTTTTCACTTTGCAATCTCATTGTCAGCACCATTGGGATCTAGCACGAAGTGCGGCCACGTTGAAATCTCCTCGAACAGTCGACTACCCGGACATTCGGTGTCACGCACTTGCCTGTGACCCAGCAACTTGAATTTCGGATGGATATACCCTTTTGCAACGCCAAATTGTATCAATGATTTCGCAGCCTGGAGCATTTGCGGTGGTGGCAATTCAGCTAACAGAAACAAAACGAAAAAAAAAACAGATAAATATTTTCATTTACATATTCGCCCGCACATAAATCATATTGCCAGCTGCCAGCTACCAGCCGGTCAGCAAATAAGCAAACAGGAGGTCGCACTCACTTCGCCAATCGCCAATCATACAGATGCCAACACTCTTGTCATTGTATTTGGGCGCATGCGCGCCAATCACATTGAAACCACGTCCCACATAAATCATGCCATCGCCACCGATCGCAAAACTATAGCCAATGTCATTCCAACCGCGCTGCAACTGATGATAGTCCTGCATAGAACGCATGGCCTTGATGCAATCTGAGGTCGTGTAGCAGGCGCTTGGCATATACGAATGATGAATGATGACATATGGCGCTGGGCCGTTAAAGTGTTCGATTAGCGTTGATGGACGCGCTCCCCAGGCGGCGCGTGCAATCATCTGTGTGTGCGTGGCGGGCATCTCTTGACCGAAGCCTGTGGAGTAGAAGAGAGCGGGGGATATATGAGAAGAAGAATATGATATTGTTAGTGTTGGCTTATAAATTTGATTTCGAATTTATGTGTGTTTGTAGGTGATAAAGTTGTTGTATGGTGCTCATGTACACGTATCCTTGCAAACTACCAATGGGTTATATTGGATAATAAATAATTAAATTTGGCAAATAGATTTGCAACTTATGTAGGACCCAAAGAGGTCAACTACCGACTGATGCCCAGAGAATGCTGAAATTATGCAGGGAACACTTCTCTTTTCTGCTCAAAGACAAGCAGAGTCGAAACCCCAGGAGCTGGCGGCTTCGATCCCAAGCGATGACGATGGCACATACATTCCATTACTCGACTATTGAGAAATGCGAAAAGAAACTAACAAAAAAGCCTGAGGTGGCTTATTGGGTGCCAAGCACAATTTTGACATTTTGGCGGGGTAAGTACGCTCCAGGCACTCACTCAATATAAAGAACCAACTCGGCAGAGGTACCTCTCTTTTAGCACGGCAACTATTATCGAAGCAGTAAAGTAACTACTAGAATTTTTAATTTCGCTAAGCCCTGCTAAAAAATCAGACTTTCAGCAAAAAAAAAAATGGCTGAGCTGTCCAAATATGGTTGAAAGTATTCCACAAACTGCGTGATATAAGCCTCCTCGCATACAAGTAGTGGAGTGTAGTATGGACAGACTAAAGACCTCTTGTCAATGAATTGATTACACCCTTTAGTGTGGCTTCAGATTTGCCAGTTCTAGCATAGCCCTAAATTCTGAAAAAATATCTATGAGAAAAGAGTCGACACCAACCATCTCTTTGCCTTTTAACAGACCGCAATTTTATATGGCTATATAAAAAACACAGTCGGAATCGGGAGGAACCTATCCGGAATGTTCGATACCAAACGAGGTTTTCGATTTCCTTAATCAAGTGCTTGTGAAAATAATACGAGCTGCAGAGAGCTGAATAAAGGAGGTAAAATCTTCTATAAGAGCCTACAATTAGCCCCAACAACACTGCAGTGAGTTCTGAATTTCCCTTAATTAGATAACGAAGCGCTGCGAATGGATCTGGTCGTGGACAAAATGAAATATCTTTTTTCATCAAATAACTAGTCAACGCATTCGCGCTTCGGTTTCCATGTCACTGTTAACAGTTGTAGATGATTTCGTCTATCTGAGGACCAGCATAATAATTAACAGTAACGTCAGCTTTGAAATCGAACTAATAATCACTTCTATTATGCGCTGAGTAGGCGATTGTAGTGTAAACTGTTCTTTCGACAAACATGAACCCTACTTAAAAATCAATAGTGATTTCCGTTCTGTTAAACGGTGCGGAGGCCTAGACGAAAGCAACGTCTGATGAGTCAATATTAAGAGTTTGCAAAAGAATGATTTTGGGTTAAATTCATGGTTCTTTACTCAACGCGGTTGCACTGGCTACAACTAATCGTTCGAATGAATAAGAAAACTCCAACATTGAAATTATTGGACACAGTTTTCCCTAGGGACCTACGACAGTGAATATCAAGCCGTCCAAGTGTAGTTTTGCCATGAAAATCAAAGCTCCTCATAAAAATCAAACGGTAGTTCGGAGGCGGTTCGGTATAAATTAGAGTTCTCTTCATTTGTAAGAAAAACAATGACACGAACATCACGAATTCGAGCCGGTGCTCGGTCGAAGATCGTTTCAGTGGTTAAAAAGGAATTGTTCTGAAATCCGATCGATACTTGGTTTCGCATAAATTTGGATTTCCGACAACAAAAAGGTGTTATAAAATGTTGTCGAAATTGAGAAATTCGAACAAATTCTAAGTGTCAAAATTCATTTACATTTTTTTTATGTTTTTCAATTTTTTTATGTTTTTAAAAATTTTTTTTTACTTATTTTTATCAAACTTCTTTCAACAATTAGCAATTTAAATTTTTTAAAACTTTGTTTACTTATTTCTTTTCCGAGTTTTTTTTGTAATTTATTTTTATTAATTAATTTATTTATAAATATATTTTTATTTATTTTTTTATTTGTTATATTTTCAACAATTAGCAATTAAAATTTTTTTTAAATTTTTTTAAACTGTGTTTACTTATTTTTTTTCTACTTTTTTATATTTATTTTTGTTAATTTATTTATTTATAAATATTTTTTTATTTATTATTTTTTTTATTTTTTTTTATTTTTTTTTATTTTTTTTTTTTATTTTTTTTTATTTTTTTTTATTTTTTTTTTTTATTTTTTTTTATTTTTTTTTATTTTTTTTTATTTTTTTTTTATTTTTATATTATTTTTAAAATTTTTTTTTTAATTTTTTTTTATTTTTTATGTTTTCAACAATTTTTAGCAATTTTTTAGCTAAATTAATTTTTTCTAATTTTTCTCGAATTCTTATAAATCCAGCGCAGGCGGTCGCGGTAGCCAAGTGGTTAGCATGGAGTACTGCCATTCGGATGTGTCGTACTAACACTTAATTTAAATAAAAAATCAAGCTAAATTTTCTAAATGCGGTCGACTCTCGTTAGTTATTTACATAAGCCAATAAAGTTATTTAAAAATTATCGAATGGAATTGTTGAAATTTTCGTTTTTTTGCCATTGAATTGTAAATTAATAAAACAAATTTTTGAATGTTTTCAGCGAATCCGCTTATTAATAATTAGCAAAAAAAAAAAGAAAAAACTTACTGCAAATGAGTGGTTTTTTTAGTGGTTTTTATGCACCAACAATTTGTTGTACTAATTTTTAAATAAAATCCCAAAAAAAGGCCAATAGGCAATTGCTTACGCCTCAATAATTTTTACATCCTCATCAAACGGGAAAAAAATATTTATATTAGTTTTTTCCTTTAACTATTTTGAGTACATAATGTTTTAATTATTTTCGACACTTAATTTTTGCTTGAATTAATTACACTGAAATGTATTAAAAATGGAAAAATCTCGCATGCTAATTGAAAATGAAGTTCAGCTGGCTGGAATATACATCAAAACAAGGGCAATGTTATTATTGTAATCGGGTGAAAAAATGTTTCTATTTGCATATCCTAATTATTATTTTTTTTTGTTGTTGTTATGGTTCCGTGGGCATACATACAAGCGTGTATGTATGCAAGCAGTTGTTGTTTGCATACAATGTTTGCCTCTAGTGGCGGTAATCAGCTAACGAATGTATATATATTATATATATATAACACACTCACACACATATTTTCCAAGCGCTGTCATAATTTTAAATTCCGCTGTCAAATATATTATGTAGCATAGTGTTTTTGTCTAATTTGTCATAATTAATTAAATGCAATTAAATGTTTCTCATTGAAAAACATTATGCGCACTGCAGTGGTCCCTGGGCGGCCTTACATCATCGTCATGGGCGCTATGCAAATATGTAGTTTTTTGCATCAATTATGTGTCGATAGTTAAGTTGAATAGAGTTGCCGCTTGTGGATTCTATGTGATTTCAAAAATGGTTAATCAGAGAAATGTTATTGAGTTTAAAGTTTGACCTTGGGTGGTGGCAGCCAAGGCCGAAGTGGCTGAGGGTAAGTCTGAGGAACGAAACATTCACTGTCCACGCAAGACTGAAAAGCGAATGGTCCGAGTAGGGAAATAGTTTTCTCATTAAACAAAAATTTCCGCGACTTGTTGCGTAAGAGTCTAAGAGCTTGCCGAACAATAATTTACACTGCATTGAAGAGTGTCTAGTCACATGAACATACGTTGAGGTGAATCGCAAGACGGATAAACTTCTTAGCAATCTGGTACTGGTACACTATGACCCATTACAATAATTTTTGCCATCAGGCTTTATTACCTCTAATGAACGGCATAAGATTCATGACTGACGTCGGCTATCTTCGATATTGCTACAAAAAAAATTTCTATATAGACAATCACCGAAACTTGTGCTGCCTTAATAGGTAATTGTCTAATGACAAGTACGTCTCTTCAGAAAGTCTTGTGTGAGTTTTAAGAACTTTAAGGAGAAGGGGATAACTTCCCGTGCACTCATTCTTCTGCAGGCTACGCAATCTCACATGCCACAAACCACAACGTTTCATCTGGGGAAGAAGGTGGGAAGATAGTTTTAAGGAAGGCGGTTCACGAAGGAACATCTACACAGAACAATCAAAAATGGCTGATGAAGCGTGGCGCCTCCAGCGACCTTGAACTAGACCGCTGACAAACACTCAAGATTTCAGAGCACTTCAGTATAATCTAGGTTAAGGAGTTTGCCAAAGTGCCATTTGTTTCGCTAGCGGATCAGCACAGGAAAGTAAAAAAAACGCTAAAAATTATCTATAATGGATTTTTCGGAAGAGCTGGATAAGCTGGAATACTTTAGCGTCGTACAAAGCTAACAAGTTCATGTGCAGCATACATTTTATGCTTACGCAGCCACGTAAAAAAATGCTGGAACTGTTGTCGCCATATTGACGAGCTACCACGTAATGGCATACTTTGCAAACAGATTTGGCAATAGTAGCAGTGACATATAGAGGAAATGCAGGCAAAAAGGCATGTGTGAGACGTTTCTGGCCAGCTAGGACTCAGCTTAGATAAAAGTTTGTCAAAACAATAGAAAAAAGCTTCAAAAAAACTATAATAGAGTTAATTAAAAAATTAAACTTATACGCTTCACCAATTATATTTCTATGAAATTACTTAAAGTCTTTGCCCTAATCTATCCAAAATCGGCTTGGAAAGATTTAAGCGAAATAAAGTTGAAAGAAAAAGCTTGAAAAAAACTAAAAACAAATAATTCAAATTAATCATAACAGCAAAGCTAGAAAGAGCTCGTCATAAAATCAACGGCGGCAACACTGGCAGTCACTAAATAATTTGAGTGAATTCATCCATATTGGCATTATAAATTCATTACATGCTTGTTTATATTATATGTATGTATGCATGTAGTTAAAATTGTATACGAAATTTGCGTGTTTTGTATTTGTTTTGTTTGTTTTGCTTTTGCTTTCAAATTGAAAATTC